TAAAAGTAGTGATGAAGGCTGAGAAACTAACAACAGAGGCATGTGGTGAAGGCCTCATTGAGTTTAAGTAAGGAACATCATTTCTGTCTGGAATTTTCATTCCTTTGTTCTCATTTCATGTGTTATCCAACCTCATCAAGAGATGAAGAACACTTGACATCCCTATCTTTTCTCAAGGTATTAGCCCCTACCTCTCCTTCTTTCTACATGTCTTGAATACATGAAAAATTATTTTAAACCATTCCTTTATTGATACTCTCAATTTTCTTAAGTTCATATTCTACCATGCTCTACCTAGCAAACCCTTGACCCTGGATCAAGCCCAGTGTCTTTTTACGTGGTCTGCTAAGCCCTTATAGAGAAAAATCACTCCATCATACAGGCCCATGTTCATTAGCTCCAGCCTTGTTGAACCTTCAGCTCTACTGTCCATCCCCTTCTCTTTCTAGGCAGCTTCAGACTTCCCCAGCATCTACTAAGTCAATTTCAGTCTTCTTCAACTCTTCAAGCTCTATGCCTATCACTACTCTCATTTTGAGTCACTTCAGAGGAAAAAGTAGAAGCTATCATTTGTTCATTCATGTTTTCTTTAATTCAAATACATGGCAAATATCAGGCAAATATATGAGTGCCTAATATGTGGCAGGTACTGTTTTAGGTGTCAGGGATACAGAAGTGAACCAAACAAGACAGAATCCCCGCCAATACAAGCTTACGTTTTGGTAGGGTGAGAGTCCAACACTAAACATAATGCACAAGAGAATGACAGCATTTGCAAAAGGCTCATAATTATTGGCAGGAAAGAGTAGGGAGGAACCTGGCCTGGTAGAACAGAAGTAGAACAGGAGAGCTGCACTGAGTCGGGTGGTCACGGTGGGCCTCGATGAGAAGGCGAGATTTGAGCACAGACTTGAGGTCAGGGAGATAAAGGCAGGTATGCAGGGAAGGAACTGCCAGCGAAAAAGGCACTATGTGGGGAGCACGTCTACCACGTGGGAGGAAGAGCAGTAAGCAAGGGGGGCAGGCAAGAAGGTCAGACAGTCTCTGAGGCAGACGATGATAGGGCTTGTGGGCTTTTTAAGGATTTGGTTTTTACCCATAGAGATGAATGGGAGCCGTTGAAGGGTGTGAACAGAATTGTATAGGAACTCCCTCAATGTACTGCCACCTTGTCCACTTCCAATTCATCTGCACCACTTCATATTGCATCTTCCCCAATGTTTCAGGGGACAAATTATTCTTTTTCTAGCCTGATCCACTTCTGTTTTGGATTTGTGCTATTGCTGTCCCATCAGGGGCTTCCCTCTATCAATTATCCCCCTACTCGCCCGTACCTCTAATCTCTGCCTCTGTTGAGTTTGTGTCAGCAGTATGAAACCACCCTGACCTCCTAAATGCCATCCTTCTCTCTAATGAATTTCCTTTCCTTCCCTTATTTTTAGCACTATGTACTTGAAAGACATTTTTCTTTTCCTCATCTTCACTCCCCCACATTATTCATGAAATCATCCATTCATTCAATAAACTTTAGGAGCACATACTATCTGTGAAGGGCTATGCTGGAGACACAGAAGTGGTCCAACAGGGACAAGGATAAGTAAAGTTCACCCATCTACTGAAACTGCTACAGGCTAACCCATTGATGCTTGTAATTTTTTAATTTTAAATTTTGACACAATTTGAAACTTGCAGAAAAGTTTCAAGAACAGCACAAAACGTCCCAGATATCTTTCATCCAAATTCCCCAACATGTTATTAGTTTTATCCTTGATTTCTTCTGTGTGTCTGAAAATGCATACGCATATATATCTCACATTCTGTTGGAGTTTTGTGTATAATATCTTTTTACTTATAAATATTTCTGGCCGGGTACGGTGGCTCACACCTGTAATCCTAGCACTTTGGGAGGCCAAAGCAAGTGGATCACGAGGTCAAGAGATTGAGAGCATCCTGGCCAACATGGTGAAACCCCGTCTCTACTAAAAATTCAAAAATTAGCTGGGCATGGTGGCGTGTTCCTGTAGTCCCAGGTTCTTGGGAGGCTGAAGCAGGAGAATCACTTGAATCCAGGAGGCAGAGGTTGCAGTGAACCAATATCGCACCACTGTACTCCAGCCTGGGCAACAGAGCAAGACTGTCTCAAAACAAAATAAACAAACAAACAAACAAATAAAAAATATATATATATAGACACACACATATATATACACATATATATTTTTTTCTATGTGTATTTCTTAAAAACAGAGTTCTTTTACCACAATACAGTTATCCAAATCAGAAAAAAACAGTGATAGTGATGCAATACTATTTTCCATAGATATTTTCAAAAAAATATATCTTTGTAGCACATGATTTTTAACTTGGACTTTAAAAGTATTACTTTTTAAAAGTATAAATGCTTTATATATACATATATAATGTAAAAATTTTGAAACTAAGACAAAAGCAGAAGGAATAACATTCAAATTATATTCCACCATCCAGAGAGAACCACTATCAATTTTTAGACCTATATACACAGGCCCACATATGTACACACAGATGCCTTTTTAAGAAAGCAAAACTGTGATTATACTGAAAATATGACTCTTTCATAACTTGCTTTTTCTGTTAATATAGTTAACATTTTCTCAAGACATGTTTCACAAATAATTTTCAAGAGCTGTGTACAAATCCACATTGTTGACAGTGCTTCCTTAAAATTCTTACCTGTGTTTGCTTCCAGTTCAACACTCTTGCTTTTTGTTTGTTTGTTTGTTTGTTTTTGTTTTAAGACAAAGTCTCACTCTGCCGCCCAGGCTGAAGTGCAGTGGTGCAGTCATAGCTCACTGTAACCTTGAACTCCTGGGCTCAAGTGATCTTCCAGTCTCAGCCTCCTTAGTAGCTAGGACCACAGGCACATGCCACCATGCCCAGATAATTTTTAAAAAATTATTTTTTGTAGAGATAGGTCTCCTTATGTTGTCCAGGCTGGCCTCCAACTCCTGGGCTCAAATGATTCTCCTGCCTCTGCATCCCAAAGTGCTAGGATTACACGTGTGAACCACCATGCCTGGCCAAAACTGTTGCTTTATTCCAAATTACCTATTTTCATTTGATTTTCTGCCCCTGTCATATATATTAGCTTTCCATAAGTTCTGTCTTCAACCTTGTTTACCCCACTAGTTTTAACTCCCTGTACACTTTCAAATTTCCCACGCCAAATCTCCCCTGAGCTCCAAACCCTAATATACTTGGCATCTGTAGGTAGATGTTGCCTCATAGTCAACATGCCCAAAACTAAGCTTCCTGTCTTCTTTTGTCAACCATGCTCCTCTTGCATTTCCTGGCTCTTAACTTCTTTCTCTGCCTCACTTACCCCTATACCCATGGTCACTGACCACTACAAATTCTGCTTCATAAATGAAATGCACCAAATCCATCACCTTCCCATACCCATTGCCAGTGCTTTATTTAAGGTCTTCAATATTTCTTGCTCAAATTAATACAAAAAAATCTCTAACTGATTTCTCCACTTCAGCTCACCTGCCCCCAATTCATCCTGCCATGGTGGCCATAATTCTGCTATGAATATGATCATGCAACCCCCTTCCTTTGATGCTTCCCATTGCACACAGGAGAAAACACAAATTCCATGAAGTTCACACGAGTCTCTTTAGACTGAAGCCCCTGCCTCCCTCTGCAACATGCCCTAGCTCTCACACTGTACATACACCAGGAACCCTGAACCATTAACAGTTCCCCAAAGATCCACACCCTCTGCGCTGCTGTCTCCTTTCATGGACTGTCCATTTGTCCAGCTTCTCCCTCCCAGTGCTTTTCTCCTACTCATTTCTTAAGACTGAGTACCTACTCCAAGACACCTTCCCTGATCATCCCACCCCAAGCTGGTCTCCACTAGGTCCCTTCCTGGGTGTTCTTTGGGCTCTCTGAGCTTCCCTCTGCATTATCAAACTGTACTGTGATGGTCTGTTCGTTTGCTCATCCCACTAAGCCCTGCACCAGGACCATTTTCATACACCTATGAAGTTAGCATGGTACCAACCACATAGCCGGGCAAAAGTCAAATTCTAATAAATGTTTTAGGAAAGACCAAATGGATATTGCACCCTTTGTTATTTTTTATTGCTTTTACCTGGTATCATTAGTATTGAAGTTGTGCGTTTGCATTTCATTTTGTATTTACAATTTCTTTTTGTTGTGGTATGTATTAAACAAATGATCCAGAGAGCTTGATTAAATCAATCACAACTTTATGAAATTGTAGCATTTCCAATAGAGAGGTGCTAAAATTATAGCAGGCAATATAAAAAAAGTCAAAATTCTAAGAATTATCTCCGATATAAATAATTTTTAAATGAAATACTCCAAGCTGGGCTGGGTGACTTGGCAAATATATAATTACATTCTCACAACCACCTTATGATCACAGTCACTTTCTTGTCAGTCATTTCATTATGACACTTGTGAAACGTGGATATTTTGTTTATTGGAGGCAGGTTTTATTAATGTGAAGGATATTAAAAACTAACTGAAGAACTTAATGTTGCTTTACAGGGTCTATTTAATTTAGATCTATAGTTGATATGACAGTTACTTCACAAGATGGCTTAGCAAGTCTGCTTAGAAGTGTAAAACACCAAATTTTGCCTAACCAAATTCGAAGACCTGAAAAAATAATACATCTAAGAGAGAATGGGGGAGGAGTCACCAGCATAGTAAATATAATTAGAAGAAAGGAGAAGAACAAAACTCTTTTTACCCCATTTATTGAATACCAACATTTCAGCAACCACTCCTTCATAATGAATGAAACCAGAATTGATAATATGTGACTCTGAGCAAAGTTATTTTATATGTATATATACATAAGTACATATATACCCACACATATACACATATACATGCATACATATAGATACACAGGGATGTTACATGAGTAAACTAGAAAAAATAATGCTTGGTGTTGATGTGAAAATCTGATATTCATTCCTTACCTGAACCTGAGAAATTGTCTAAAGACCCGTCTGCTGTCGTTGAAGCTGTTTCACTGCTGCTCATTGGCTCTGTTTTAACTACAAAAATAAACAACATACACCGATATTGAATTAATAGTTATTCATAAAGACATGGAAGAGAAGATATAACATTCAGAGTAATGACAAGAAAATCATTTCAGGAAACATTTTCCCTAACTGAACATAAATCATAAGCATAAATAGACTCCTTTTAAAAAACATTTATATATTTATTTATTTCCCCTTAGGAAACAACCTATTGTCACAAGTTACCCTTTAAAAGCAGCACTTTAAAAGTAATTAAATTCATCATTGCTTTACATATTTACTGAATTACTTATTGATAAATAAATTAGCTCTCAAAATCTACATGATGTGATATAAAATCATTCCTGGGGTTGTGGAAAAATCCGTTATTTAGTCAGAGTCAAAAGGATAGAACAGAAAGATGTGGGGAAGTAGGAAGTGAGTGGGTGTCGACACCAGCAGGCCTTCCTGATGCTCAAGGGCAGGGTCCTCCCTACCATACACACACACCTTCTGGGTTCTCCAGCATGGCTAAAAAACCGAGGGCTCGATTTAATGCACCATCGTTACCACCCAGCCATATCTGCCAATTCATCGATATTTTATGTATGCTTTGTACCAAAAACATTCTGAATCTAAATGAAGCAGAAACAAAGTTTTCTATTTCAAAACAGTATTGATAGCAGTTTGTGAAATACATACACGATCTTCGGTCAAGTCCCTTTGTGCTGTGAGATAACTTTTAGATTTATGCTATAGATTCTCTAAAGCAATCCACTCCCCTGATATGGTGACAGTTTTATTGTGCCCCTATCAAACAGACAAGCCAACAACTTCAGCACATCTGCTTTTGTTCTCTCTAGTTTTACACTTTTTTTTTTTTTTTTAATGAAGAAGTAGCATTGTTGTTTTCCGTAGAAACTGCTGGTGAAGTGTCATCATCAGAATTTGCCTATCCTGCTCTGGGGAAGGTATTCTTTTCTTAGTAACAGATTTTCAGAAAGAATGCAGTAATATTTTAAGGGATACCTAAAAATCATTTACATGCTTCCTAAAACAAAGGCTCTCGCAAGAGAGTATCTGGGGAGTCCTCTCTTATAAAGCAAATACATTTTGAAGTAGGAAAAGATGATGGAGAAAATGCAGCTTTTCCTTCTCTCAACATCACCAATCTGTTACAACCACCAGGGAAAAGACAAATTCACACAACCCCTGGCTCTTCAGATATTCTCCTAATGCATAATGAGTAGTTTAAAAATAAGCATTATAAATAGATGCATCAGATAGTCACTTTTTAAAAAAATAATTATTCAGATGACTTCTAAACAAGCTTCAGAAAACAATAGTGAGACTAATGGAAATCACTCTGCTGGATAGTTTTAATGTAGACCAAAAAATGGTGTAACTGAAGTTGTAACTGAAGTTTTCACTTTTCTGCCAGTTGTTTTGGGTTTAGAAGTCTTTGTTGATGCTAAAAAATTCTGACATAAGCCTGTATTTCCCTTCTCTCTCCATGCCACCAGACAACCGAATGATTTGGCTTTTCATCACCATTACACTGCCATCGTTTCGGGAAAGGCAGTATTCCATTGCTAGCGCACAGTTTCTAAGTTTCTTAGTCAGCTGTCCACATCATACCTTACCTCCTTAAAAAACAAAAACAAACAAACAAAAAACCTCATATAATGCCCCATACACATAAAGCAATCGTTCTATTTCACTCTCTGCCAGACAGATCACCACTAAGATTCTGAACTCAGAATCAAATACAACATACTAAGCAAAAGATTAGAATTAGGTGCCATGGAAACAGGTCCTGTAAAGTGCCTACTATGTGTTAGTTATTTATAGACATTATATAATTCATCCTTTTAAACAACTCTACAAATAGGTCTCAGAATAGACAAACTCCCTAGGCAATATTGCCTTCTTGTTTCCCATGCACACATTAAAACCAAAGGGGTTAGGAAGTCACCCAAAGACCCACAGTAAGGGGCAGAAATAAAATTTAATTTGGGATGTTTTTGACTCCAAGGCCCTTGACTAAAGCTTGAAGAAACGGTAATAAGTGGGACTTTCCAATAGTACAAGCGACTCCACAACAAGCCTGCTGGGGCACAGTGCCACATCGGGTAGAGTGGAAAGCGAAGTCCCTCCCCTCCTACGGTCTTAGGGCTCCCAGCCTAGTGAAGTTGCTGGAAGTTCTCACATAGAAGTTTCATGCCCAGCTGTCAGGAAAAGATGTGAAGAAAAAAATTGTTCCACTCCGTGAGATGTCAATCAAGATTACTTCTAAGTCTTTGTCAAATCTAAGGTCTATGACTTAACAGATTCTGTAGATGCAACTACTTTGTGAAAGCTTGACTACACCAAAACCACTCCTATTTCGGTACCCCTAAAATCGACACCAGCTATTCTCCATATGATTAGCTTAATTGAATGTAGCCTTCACTCCCAAGAGGCACATTCAATTATACTTGAAATCCATTAAAACTAGGCAAAAAGATTAGAAAGGAAAGGAAGAGGATACTTTTCTTTTAGGCCCCAATAACACTGCTTTTCACCATTGTTCAAACATACCCATCTATACACTAAGGAATAAAGACTCCCTTTTCCCAATGAACCCAGTTTTTTAAAAAGGTTCACTGTTGAAGGAAGAGGATGTACATAAAATAACCACCAGGATATTCATGATTTTATCAGATACTGTAATTGAATACTTTGATCACCAGGGATCTGATGCTAAAGACTGGTGATTTATTGTAATGTAAAATAGTTTCTGAATGAAAGCCAAAGACACAAAAACTACTTCTGGCTTTATTGTAGCCAAACATATACCCAACAGAGAGTTAAAAAGACAAGAATAACCTCTGGCCACCAAAATGTTATCCATACCATTCCCACTAGCACTACCACATTTATAACTATGCTGTAGATGATGTGATAGAGCGTCTCTCCAAAGCTTTGAATTTAAAAACAGACACTGAGTTTTCTTGGTCTTAGAGGTTTAAGGTACTGTAACATCTAAGAACAACTATCCTATCTAAGCCACCCATCTAAAAAGGAAAAACTACGAATGATCTGTTCACCTCTAAATAACTGGGATTAGTTTCTGTCCACCATACTATTCATTATATGACTCCAGTCTATTAGAAAAATAGTAACTTCTGTTTTCTTTTGCCACCACACGAGTCTCTTTTTCTACCATTCTAAGCTCCCAATCTTCCATCTGATCCTCAAAAATATATTCACCCTTTAAACATATTCAAAAATTCCTTTTTATCCCTTAAATCTCCCTGTTCCTCCAACTCCTTCACTCAGCCATGCACTCTAGGCCTGAGCAATGCTGGGCAACTTGCTACGTCTAGATATGAAATGATCTTCCCTCCATAAATGCCTTTGAGTTTTGGTTTTGAAGTCAGAGAATCCAGTTACCTGCTATAAGACTTTCTAAAAGTGATTTACTCTCCTTGATCTTAATTATCTCCATATAAAATTATATCTATATTACAGGAATGAAATAATAATTCATAAAAATGTACATAAAGTACCTGGTATAAAGTAGGAGCTAAAACTATATTCAACATCACCATTAAAAGTAGCAGTAGCAATATTCTCTGTTGGGCTGAATGGCTTCGTCCTTTCTCCTGGGGAGTAATACCAGGAATAATACATAACAGTTAAAATCACCTGCTTTGGAACTATCAATTGAATTTCAATTTAGCTTTGCATCTAACAGCATGAATCTGGAAGTTAGTCAACTTCTGTATGCCTCGGCTTCCTCATCTGTAAGTGTGGGTGAATACTCAGGTGAGAATTAAAAAAGATAAATGCTTCTAAATTATTTCACACTGTGCTACGCCCAGGGCCTATGCTTTTATAGTCACTCTACCGCTATAGCGTCTCTTTATGACAAATCAAAGTTTTTCTTAAGATACAGATAACTGGGTCCAAATGTATCATGAACTTCACATTAAAGTTAAGCTTTCTCTTTAAAATAAAGAAGAATCCAAAGTGAAGGGATGTGTCTAAATCAGCCATGAGACCACGCTTCAAGAGAGCCAAAATTAAATCAAAGTAACTTGGAAATAAGATGGCAGGACCAAATTGTGATTATATGAAGAAAACTTATGTTTTGATCATTAAAAGGCAGTGTATACTTTCTGAAGAAACAGGCTAACAGAATGGTTTACATGGCAATTGTGATCAATAATTCCAGAAGAAAATGTAGCCATCTTTTCTGGCATTCTTGAGGGGAGGCTGGCCCATAAAATGAGAAAACCATCTTCCTTCATCATACATTTCAGTGTGGATCTATCTAACAGACCATTGGAGCTTGGTGACATTAGCTATCAAGATCATGCCACTAACCCATCATACCATGATTCCATGCTCATCCAGCAACGTCTGGTTATACTTTGAAGGTTCCAGTCATGCACAAGACTTCTGCATCTGCAGAAGATGACAGACCACTCAGAAGAAACAAATATTCTGTCCATTTGATTAGTTATATTTTTCACCATAAATTATGTGGGCTGTTTTAATAAACCAAGTTCACCCACAAAGGACAGTACCGCCTGCTGGACTAAGGAGCCAGCCTGTGTGTTACAAATAATTCATGCCGCAATGTGCAGGGAAGGCAGCAGCCTGGGTGACCTGCAGGCCCTCCCCAGCAGCACCTAAGCTCATATCACAACTTTTCTCAAACTGTTAGAGTAAGCACAGCTTGTCTTTGCTTGGCACAAACTCAATCTTTCTTTTAGTTTTGTTTCCTACCATATTATGCAGGGACTTTAAAAACTCAGTTTACCATCCCTCTCCCACTCTTTATGATTCCTTCATCTCTTCTACTTCAAAAAGAGTTACCTTCATTCCATATTGGTTATTAAAATGTTCAGTTGCACCCATACCTGGAATTGCATTACCTCCATGAAATACCACCTTTCACCTCATTCATTCACTTACTTGCTATTACTCCTCATCAGAATATCCCATCTTTCCAAATCCCTATCTATTATCCCACTCCTGCTTCACAGCCTCCCTTGCCTAGCCTGAAACCCAGAGCCAGTCATGTCTAGTTCCCGTCCTAGGTTGATGTGTGGTCTCATTTCTCCTAGCATCTTTTTTGCCAATTTTTAATCTCAGGATGGGCAATCTCTCATTGTTCACTGTTCTGCTGCTGTTCCAGATGGATGAGTATGGCAGAACAGGTGCCAGCATGCTGGCAGTCCACTTAATTGTATTCTGTCTTTATTCTTTTGAGTCACCCTGTTGCTTGCCAGACCCCCTTTTCCATCTCTTGACAACTGTCTGAAACAGTTTCCACTGAGTTTTTTCCATGTTCCTTAAGCTCCTGAGACATACCTCATCCCTCACAATCTTTAGCCCTTCCCCACCAACTATTTCCCTTCCACACCAACTATTTTCTAAAGAATGTTGATGCTGCATTAAATCCTTCATCTTCCTGCAACATTTCCCAGTTTTCCATGTAGAATTAATTTCAATGAAGGTTTTCTTTCCTTGAGCAGTGTTTAACCTGTTTTACCAATAAGACTTTCTCAACTGCCCAGTTCAAACTCTTCTTAATCCTAACTTTCCTCAATTGTATAGAATAAGCCTTATTCCTTGACACTTTTTTAAAAAATGATTGTTCAATATAACATAGCAATAGTTCTCCTCTCCCCACTGTATTTCTTTTTCTCTAGGTTTTCTTCCTTTGTCTACTCTGTGGTTCTATAATTTCACCTCCTTCTTGTCCGCATGTTCTCTCACAATCATTTCTGTCCTAGCCAAACTCTATAATTTCCACGACTCTAATCTTTTACAAGCATCTTCTTTCTAATTTCACAGCCACTATCCTAATTACCTTCTGCCTCTTCTCTTACGAAAGTTAGCAAATTGGACTTTCAGCATCTATTCTCCCTGCTTTGGAAACAAATATTCATCTTTTCATAATTTAGATATGCATGAGTCACTCCTGGCTCTGGGGTCTTCAGCAGGTTCTCCACTTCCTTCTGAATTAAGTTCCCAATCTCTAATCATGTATTTAAGGCCCCCTATACGTTGACACAGAACTTTTCTTATTTTCTTTGCTTTATTTTTCATTTCATTTCTTTCATACACTTTATATTTGCATAACAAAGAATAATTTGCAGGAATGCAAGAGTACTGAAAAAATACAAAATCTCATCTAATTGTCCCAACTTTCCTGTGTGGCACTAATATCCCCATTTACAGATAAAGAACCACATATCCATATACTGGACATCATTTAAACCAACTGGCCTCCTAAGATGTTTAATGCTTCCTCAAATCTACAGCTTTGTAGTACCCTTCCCTCTGACACTGAATATTCTATGGATTTTACACATGACTCAATCCCACAGTTTCTTCAAGGTTCAACTAAAATCCCACCTGTTTCCTTAAGTCTTCTCTGATCTAGTACTCAGGGGTGGTTTCCCATTCCTTGAACTATGTCTGTGTTTGTGCCTCCTTTAGAATATATGTCCTATTCTATCTCATTTCATATTGGAAAGTCTTATCCATTTCAATATATGATAAACTGCTTCATGACATAAAAAGATCCTCTAAGACCAAAAACACTAGGCCACATTTTTTTAATTTACATGACTGTATCTCTACAGGACTTAGCCCAAGGTTTGGCTTGCAGTTGGAAATCAATATTTACTGAGGGAATGAATAAAGATAAACTGACTTAAAAAACAGTTTACAAGTGACTTCATACTACTAGGGACATTGCACAGGACAAATAAAAACACTGTTTATGCTAAAATCAAGATGACAGTTTATTCCCTCCAAATCATCACTCAGTCTACTGATAAGCAGGTTTTGCAAAGCATCTAATTTACGGAACATGTGTCAGTTATGTTATTTTGAAAAGGGTACTATTTGGAGAAGACACATTAGCATAAACTATCAATTACTGAAATTTTTGTAGGTTTAGAGAGGATCCCACCTGAATCAGTAAAAAGAAAGGTAAATAAATTATCATCCATTTGTAATAATTCATGGGACATAACCCACAAAAGCAAATGTTGGGTATTGCTGCAAATAAGCCTCAAAAGAACCCTTTATAGAGCAACACAATTATGCTGTAGAGGATCGCAAAAGCACAAACATGCAACGTTCTGTTATGGGTTAGATTCAACGACAGTATCGCTCACAGATTTAATGAGTCTCTTTCTCAAACCATGAGGCAGAAATAGAAATGTGTTTTTAGAAACTGTGTCAAATGATTTAAAAAGGGGCAGCGAGGGAGATGTGAAGAGAATAAAATTGTTGCATAAAATATGAAAGTGGAAAAAAGCAGCATTGCTAAATTTATACATTTGACATCTCTAAATGCATGATTAATTCAATATTACAAGTAGTCATTTGATTATCTCTGCTTCACCTAAAAGTGCATATATCCATGAACTAAATGTGTTTTCTTTAGTTAATTCCCATTTAGGAAACAAGACATTCTTTTGTGTTTGCATTGGCTATATAGCATATGATCATTCTCTCTCCAAAGAGTAAAGTTGAGGCCATCTTTATCTTAAAGGAGGGCAGGAAAAAACGTTAGCTGTTCAATGGTACACCTGGTACAATCTTATGAAAGCCAAATAAACACATCCAGACTAAACTTGAATTTAAGGGTATACATGGCCAAAAAGAAACATTGGTCCATTTCAAAACCTGCTATTCATGGAAAGTACAGCATATATTAATAGCAGCATGTGCAATTACTTATGGGGTGGTCTAGACTAATTGACTTTTTTTTTGTAAAAGAAATATATGGTAAATCATAACTGCTCCTTTGTAATGTCTTTTACAACTCCATGTTCCTTTTTGTTTTGCAACTCATTCTTCTACACTAGCTCAGTTTCCTAACACACACAATCTGAGAAGATTACATGAGCCTCTACACTAATGCTCATCTGTCCCCCAATCCAGTCTATCCTTGCAACTGCTGCCAGATTAACACCTAAAACACTTCCACCATATCAGCCCCTTGCTCAAAATATTCAGTGGCTTCTCTACTGACTCCAGGATGAAATCCAAATTCCTTAGCTTACTATTCAGGGTCCTCCACAGTTTGGCTCCAACTGATCCTTCCAACCTTATCTACTATCAATTCCTTCTTCAGCTAAACTGGTCTCCTAACAGTCTCCCAAACTATCCTACCTTTGTTTGTATTGTTTCCTCATTTAGAATGCATTCCATCTCTTCTCCACCTATTCAAATTCTACCCATTTCCCAATACTCAGCTCAGATTCCATCTCCTCCTTGAAGCCTGGCCAGACCTTAGCAAGCTGAAGAGCTCTTTCTTCTGTACTCTGAGAGCACTTTTGTTCGGATCTGCGGCTTCTAACCTTCTTGAGAATGAAGCCCTCTAACACCAAAATATTTCAGAACCCAAAGTGTATGACAAAAACCTACTGTGAATTTGTAGAGGAAAAAAATGTGTATTTTAATAAACATAACAGAATGTCCATATGTGAAAGAGTTAAATATATATGTGGCCTGTTAATTTCCTCACCCTACAGACAAACCTTTTGAATTTGCGAACCTTTGGTACTTGTTCTCCAACTACTGAGGAAGAGTAAGCCACAGACTGAAAATCCTAGTCTCCATAATTTATTTGGCATATTACCTTTTAGTTTTTGCTAAATGTTTAAAACGTCTTATGTTCCTTTACCAGCCTGTGAGCTCCTTAAGACAGGTGTCATGGTCAACATAAAATAGACAAATATCTAAATTAAATATTTTGTTTGTTTGAAAATCACAGAATTGCAATTCAATACATATACACAGAGCAGAATGGTCTTCAGTATGTCCTAAGAACAAAGAGAAGGTTGGAGGTTTTTATTAGAAAGAGAAATGTTACATTTTGTTTTGAAAAGCTCATTGGCACTAGAGAAGCTTTGGGAGGCTGCCAAGCTCTGACTGGTGACTGGTGGCTGTAGGTAAAATTAGTCTTGGAGTCATGGCAGGTTGTTTCACTAGTTACTAGGTAAACTGCTTTGAAGGGTACAGCAGGCCATTTCAGCAGCTGGGCTTGAAGAAAATTCAGCTCTTGGAGCTGGTGCTTTATTCCCCAAGTGCTTTACCCCCCTGCTCTTTCAACTTATTTAGTTGGAGCTATGGTTTGAATATTTACTTCCTCCAAAACCCATTTTGAAACTTAATCCCCAATGTGTCAGTATTGAAAGGTGGGAACTTTAAAAGGTAATTGGATCACAAGCACTCCACCCTCATGAAAGTATTAATCCATTCATGGACTAATGGGTTCATGGATTAATGGTTTATCAGGAGAGGGAAACTGGTGGCTTTATGAGAAGAGGAAGAGGAACCTGAGCTAGCATGTTAGCATGCTCCGTGCCCTCCCCATGTGACACTCTGTGACACCTTGGAACTCTATATACAGAGAGTCCTCACTAGCAAGAAGGCCCTCACCAGATACAGGCCCTTGACCTTGGACTTAGCCTTCATAACTGTAAGAAATAAATTTCTTTTCTTTATAAATTACCTTGTTTCGAGTATTCTATTATAAGCAACAGAAAACAAAATAGTACAGTTGGATATAACTAAAATGACCCAATTGGTATAAATCATCTTTCACACAAGAGCAGTACCATACACCTCTTTATATTTCTTCTAGAATCTGGCAGAGTTTATTTGTATACAGTAAAAAATAAATAAATACTAGATTCCATTTTTCTCCAATATTATGCTAGAAAATTTATCATACAGACAGGAAAGTTGGAAGAATTACACAGTGAACACCTATAGATGTATCACCTGGACTCTACAATTAGCATGTTACTATATTTACTTTTCTATATCTATCCTTCAAAAAACTATCTTATTTTTAATATATTTTAAAGGAAGTTGCAGATATAATACACTTCCCCTAAACACTTCAGCATTCATATCATTAACTAGAGTTCATATTTTTGACTTTTTAAAGTAAAATTTTTATATAATCAAACGCACAAATCTTAAATGTGCCATTCAATGACTTTCAACAGATACATATTATATTTAGAAAGCAAAGTGAGATCAAAACATTTTTAGCTTATTATAATAATGGAAGCATGGCACAACAGTATGAAAAGATTGTACCAATAAAAAATACAGACAGCAATACAACATTCTCAATTTATGGCACAGGCAATATTAAAGTAGACTTTTAGAATGGATGAGTAATAATTTTAAATGTAGTTTATATTTATTGAGCACCTACTATATGCCATGCATTTTGCTAAGCACTTTACAAGCAATAGGTTGTTTGCTCCTCATGGCAACTTTATGAGATACTTATTATTATTGTGTAATTTCATAGATGAGGAAACTGCAGCTTAAAGATGTTAAATAGTCCATGATCACACAGTTTCATGTTTCTTTAATTGCCATATCTTTTGTAAATCAGCCAAAAAGCCCAGTGTTTTCTGAATATAGTTTTATCATCCTTAATCATTCCTTTGATATAGATCTGGACAATCAGTGAATGGTACAGCAATAAGAAGGTCCAAGAATACCAGGGCACTGAATAAAAGTGTATCAGTGTATGTTGCAAATTAGCGGGTGGTAAAATAAATCAGTGCATGAAGATTGGAAGCAGATGAGCTGGCTCAGACTCACAACCTCAACCATATCAATGTGGGAAAATGGCTTACTTGCCTAAAAGGTAATCAATCTACTAAATACACATCTCAGATCATGTTTCTTCCCATCCTTCACCAACTCACAGGAGCACCCAGACATAAACCCTACCCACATTGAGTATTAATTGAACAAGTAATTACTAAGTACCTCAAGTACTGCAAATACCTGCAAAGGCCGTGCTTGATATGCAGGATCCCAAAGGAGGAGAATATATCCTTTCCTCACCTGGAGACATTACAGTAGCCAGTCCCAGAAGATATGTTTCTTTTTAAAAATATAACATTATTTAATAATAGCTGCTATGTTTTGAGCATGTAGTAGATACCAGTAACTACACTTAGTATTTTGGATAGATTAACTGTCATGCACCTGTGATGAAGGGGCAATGCCATTCTACAGCAAAGAAGGCAGAGGCTCAGAAGTAATAGATAATAATAGCCAGTGGACATTGAGCATTTTCTAGGAGCCAGACTCTGTTCTAAGCACTTTACCAACTCATCTAACAGTAGTAGCAACACTACAGGCAAGTAGTATCATCACCTTCATTTTACGGACCAGGAAGCAGAGGCATAGAGCAGTTAAGTAAGTATTCGTCATCATACTTCGTAATTAATAAGTGGCAGAGCTTCAAACAGACGCAGGCAGCCTTCAGGACTCTTTCTATGCTCCCTGCTCTGTCCTCAACAGGCATATGTTAGTTGCCGTGAATAAAAAGCAGAATTGTGATTGTGATTTTTTAGTTCAGGTAAGTCTGACTACAAAACTTCTCTCACAAGCATGCAATTCTTCCTATATTTCTAATATTACTCATTTTCCACGTTACTCTCTTTAAGGCAAGTATCAGATATGTTCAGAAAAAGATAACAATATGTAAATAAGCACATGATTTCAGATAAAATGCCTTCATTTCTTCTCACCTACGGTCCCTTCTTTAATGCCCACTACCTCTTGAATACAGTTTCAAAATACTACCTAAGTGCATTTCTAAAACACAAACCCAATCATACCACTTTCTGACTCACAAGCCTTCAGCTCCCACAGCTCCTGTACAGTTGAATCCAAATTCTTGAACTTCGTATCTTGAGCCCTTCATCATCATCTTTGGCATCTAAGCCCCATCTGTGTGCATGCTTCTCATCTTACACACACACACACACACACACACACGCACACACACATGCACGCGTGCGCACGTGCGCACACACACACACTCTTCTGCCATTCGGAATGTCTTTGTCACAGCTATAAAGCTTAAGCTCTCTCTTTCTTCCTGGCATGGCACTCAGTATTCTCCTACCTCTCCTTCAGGACTCAGGTTAAGCATCACCAGTGTGTGTCCCCACAATCCACAATCACTTCAGTGAGGTTTAGATGTCCTCCTCCTCTGCAGAATATAATCCTTATCTTAAAGTATGGTGGTAAATCACATTAAATAGCCAACTTCTCCTTGGCTAGAATGGAGTTTGGTATATTTCTAGATAGAATCACTTAATAAATATTTCTCAAATTAACAATGTAATTGTGGATATACAGTACAGATATACTACATATATACACACATACACACACACACATATATACATAGACACTATTTTTTTACTTCAGTGAATACATATATATATATATATATCTCCTTCTTCCTGCAATTTTTCCCCACCTTCAAAATGTTTACTTCCAATAATTCCTTTACCATCTTACCATCTACACACCAACCCTAAGTGTATTAACTGCCTTATCCTTATATCATTCAGTTGTTTCTTGGAACAGTTGTATGTGGAAGTTGCTTCATCACTATTAATATACTAACAGTTGAAGTTTCTATTTATGAAGCAGTTATTTACTAGGGGTCAAAAGCAAGTCAGTCACTATAGATCAAATTCACAACCTGCAACAATGTTGACTGTGAATGTTCTGTGGATGGACAGCCCATAGCAACTATATGAACTGTCTGTGAAATGATCAATTTCAAAAATTTGAAAAACAGGCTCTAGATACTTATTGAATCGTTAATACATTGTAAACAAACTTAATGAATGCTCTTCTCTTATAATCATTCATGTACATTATATGCTTAGTAATAGGAGGCATTCATTTAACAATTTTTTTTTATTTGACTTTATTGCCAATTCTCCCGTTAGATGCTAAGGACACTAGAGTGAACACATGTGTCCCCGCTTCGAGAAACTTAGAAACTCTTCTAGGTGAAGCACACATATAAATGAATGTTGCATATCTTTCATCTTGGCCACAATCTTAGATAAGGTAACATAAACACTTCTTAGGGAAGATAAACTATTTCAGCAAGAACTCAGCTTTTTGGCTAGTAACCTAAGCAGTGCTATTGGGGAGTCCATGTTTTAAAGTGTAAAGAATATAGCTTTGAAATCAGCCTGTTAGGCCTTTGCATCTCTTCCACAACACAGTTAATACACTGTATACACAGACTAGTCACTTAAACTCTTTAAAATGAGGTGCCTAAAAGTTACCCTAGAGATTGTTCTGAGGATAAACGTAGGTAGAGGGCATATGATGTACTCAAAAACTTAGTCAATGTAGTTCATATTCTTTATTGTTGACAAAAAGGATTCTTTCCACTTAAAATGCCCTATTAGTAATAAATACAAAGATAAAATGGGTAAGGATTATAGATTTTGATTCATGTTACAATGTTAAGAAAAAGTTCCTAATTTGTATTATGAGGAGTACATAAACATACCTCTTTGGAATGTGTTTGGTAGAGTCTGTCTACCATTTTTTGGTATATGGGATACTGGAGGCATGCAAAAACAAAACAAAACAAAACAAAACAAAACTCAAAATCTGTAAAACTAGCAAATTACCATGAACATAATCATAATAAGCTCTCACTTACAAATTATGTGTCCTAAAAATTAACACAAACCCTTGATAACCTCATGAAGACTTGCTTTCTCTCTACTACAGTATAAGCAATATTTGACAGTCACTGACATATGACAGATAATTTTTTTCCTACCCAAAGCAAAAGTGGAAAATTTGTAATATGTATGTATTTTTTTCTACTGTATTGTATGCTTAGAGTGAAAGAGAGGAGAATGAATTACTCTTGACCCTTATTCCAAGTTAGCAAGGTGAGAAGAAATGTAACAGACCCCACTTTATTTATATACTGCTCACACCAAGGCATCCTTGGATATCATAAGAAATCAGGACTTACTTAAAAGCAGGGAATCTGTCACCAAAGGCATATGAATTTGCCCAAATACTACCATTCACAAAATGTTCACATATCTCCCGGGAGGGAACCAGAGGTTTCTCCCAGAATGTTGGATGTTCTCAGGGAGATATATTTCTGCTCATACCAAAATTCTGGCCCAGGCAGCACAGAGATGCCACAGAACTGTGATTCTCTATACTATTAGTAACTGGAAGTAGGGAAAAGTTGTCTACATCTAGACCTTAGTTATCAGGAAGCCTCACTCTAGAAACCCTGAGCCTAGTTGCAGGCAATCAGCACTGGAGTTCCTATTCTTATTATGAAAGATACAGTTAGCTGCAGGTGAGAGGCTAGAGCCTATCTGCCACCCTACAAGGCTCACACGTGCCACCCCTCTATTCCTCTGATTTTACCTCTTTTACTCCCAGCCATTCTCTCTCCTCCAGCCATACTGGGCTCCTTGCTGATCCTAGAACATCCCAAGCATGTTCTCAACTCTCAGATTTGGTCATTACTACTCCAATGGGGCCCCAACAAATGCCAACAGTGTTGTTTGGCTGGTATAATTTGGTTCTCAAAGTCAAGAAAAGTGTGACCAAATTTACCACCTACTTAGAAATGTTTTCTGAGGTAGAAA